GTATATAATCATGCATAATTCATCATCTGTTTTTTTAAGTGGTATATATTCATGGATAATTCATCATCTGTTTTTTTAAGTGGTATATATTCATGGATAATTCATCATCTGTTTTTTTAAGTGGTATATAATCATGCAGAATTCATCATCTGTTTTGGTAAATAGTATATAATCATGCATAATTCATCATCTGTTTGGTAAATGTTATATAATCATGCATAATTCATAATCTGTTTTTTAAGTGGTATATAATCATGCATAATTATCATCTGTTTTTTAAGTGGTATATATTCATGGATAATTCATCATCTGTTTTTTAAGTGGTATATAATCATGCATAATTTATCTGTTTTTTAAGTGGTATATATTCATGGATAATTCATCATCTGTTTTTTAAATGTCATATATTCATGGATAATTCATCTGTTTTTTAAGTGGTATATAATCATGCATAAATTTATCTGTTTTTTAAGTGGTATATAATCATGCATAATTCATCATCTGTTTTTTAAGTGGTATATAATCATGCATAATTCATCATCTGTTTTTTTAAGTGGTATATATTCATGGATAATTCATCATCTGTTTTTTAAGTGGTATATAATCATGCATAATTTATCTGTTTTTAAATGGTATATATTCATGGATAATTCATCATCTGTTTTATATAAGTGGTATATAATTGCATAATCCATCATTTCGTTCTGTTTTAACAGTATCATTTTTATGATGTAATTGAGCAAACTATGTTTATGTTACATAAGCAGTTTTTTAAAATCTTGTCAAAACTATGATCATAAAGTTGTTAGATAACACTACATATTTAGGTAATATTAAATTCTCAGATGTTACCATATAGTGTTTTCTTATTTTCTATATGTAGAATGAGAGAAAATGGAAAGAAAGTGTTCCTATTGACAAATAGTGCATATTCTTATACAGAGGTAAGATATTTCTGTGCATGTGATATAGTAATCATGTAATCGCTGGTTAAATCTCTTACTATGGGCTCGGCTGAGTGCGTGACTCCAAATTGATCTTTCTAGTTTCCATACTATAACTTCTAATATGTTTTTGTGTATTTTCATGAAATTTTGCAAGCATTCAGTAATCATTAAGAGTCATTCTTAGATAAAAAAATCAAAATATTTAATAAAGTGTTTTCACTAAAACTTTCAACATGAATATGTTTAGTCAAAATGTTCATTGCTCCAAATGCAAAGTGATTTTCATGCTAAGATTCAAAATACTTTTCTTCATATGAAAAATCTCGGATTTCATTTGCGTAATCTATAAAACCTCCTAAATAAATCTCAAACATTTTTTTTCAGTAAAACATTTTATTTTATCTATTATTTTCAATACCCTAACTATATACAAGGTTGGTAAATTTGACCGACCTCGTAATGACATTATAATGAGTAATTTACATTAAATTTTGTACTTCTAAGTGAATTAGTGAAGAGGGGATATCTAGAGAGCAAATTTCACAATTCTAATTCTAGAAATTCAAGATTTGTTAAAAATATTGTCTTATAATATTAAGGACTTAAAACTTGCATAATATTAAAATGTTGGATTAATAGATATATTTTTGCTAAGTTTATTTGTATACCATGATAAGAAAGTAGCTTAATTAAATTTTGTATGTAACTCACTAAAACATTGTGAAATAAAAAAGATGCTCATAGTAAAAGTTTTAATATTCTTCTGCAGAAGTAATCTGTTTCTATGTTTGCTGTGATAGTTATGTAATAATTAGTTAATATTTCTATACAGAAGTAAGCTGTTTCTATGTTTGCTGTGATAGTTATGTAATAATTAGTTAATATTTCTATACAGAAGTAAGCTGTTTCTATGTTTGCTGTGATAGTTATGTAATAATTAGTTAATATTTCTATACAGAAGTAAGCTGTTTCTATGTTTGCTGTGATAGTTATGTAACAATTAATTAATATTTCTATACGGAAGTAAGCTGTTTCTATGTTTGCTGTGATATCATTTATTAATATTCCTATATAGAAATTAGCTGTTTATAAGTGTGATTTACTGCTCTTAGAATTTTCATACACTGTTTGTTTTTGTTTTAGAAATACATTCAGTTGACATTTAATTTTTTTTTTGTTATTGTTTAGGAGATCATGACATATTTGTTTGACTTTCCAAGCTGTAATGGGGTAAGTTTGTGAATGAATAGTGTTAAAGTAGTTTGTCTGTATAAGGATGTTATTAACTATGTAGTCATAGAATTTTTGTAAGTTTTTCACTTTTCTGAAGATGTGGCATTCAGAAGATTTGTTTAGTAGAATAAGAACTAATCCAGCAATAAATATAATTAATTCAATATTTCATTTTAACTAGAAGTATATAACATAAAAAATGTTATTACTAGAATGGCTTGATTCATCAACTACAATAGTCTTGCAAGGTTGGGAGATTTAGACTAGTCATGAGTCTGAGTAATAATCTAACAATATAAAAATACTCATACCAATATATAATGATAAATATATGAATAAAACTAACAATAAATAAATAAATAAAAATTAATATATACACATGTATGTTAAACATTTTAATCACAAGTGTTAATAAACTAACATTAAATAAACTTTGTACTTTAAAACTATAAATCAACCTGACAATCCAGTGCCAGGTTCAAATTTTTTTTTTATAGGAAGGAGTGATCCCCAAAACAAATTGACCTTTATATTACAAATATTAACTATCAAACAGTAACATCTGCTCATTTGTTAACCTAACACCATTCATAATAAATGGCCTTTTGACCTTTAGATTGATGTGACAAATATCAGTCAAGAGTACATAATTGTACATAAACCGTATTTATTTAATGAATATTTATAACCATTTGATACATCTTGTATAAATCTGTTACCTAATCAAATTTTTTGTAAAAGTCTATTTCACTTAGAACTTATTTCAACATCTATATTTTCATACTGCTGTTATTTGCATCCCTTAGTTTAAGGATACAGCATTACTGCTATAGTTTTCTAATTTATCTGTAGGAAGTATTTTCAGAGTTAATTCATTATATTTTCAAGTAACTTTTCAAGATCTGTTAAAGTTTTTCATGTATAAATGATTAAATTTAAATAAATCAGCTGATTTAGCAAAAACCGACACCAAGGCAACTTCATGAAAAATACAATTCTGGTCAATAATAACTGATCACAACAAATTTTTTCACAGTGGGGCATACCTTACCTGAATTAAAAAAAAAGAAAGGAAAGACTGTTATCTTCATCTGGAAAGTCTTGGTAATTTTGAGGGTATAAAAATGTCATGTGATCATGTCACATGATCAAAGATACTATTATGCTCTATAATGCTTACCAATATCATGAATGGGAGTATAGCAGACCACAGTACTTGACCATTTGGGGTGGTCTGAAAATGTTCTCTTTCTAGTAGGTTGGTAGGTCCTGAATATACAGGCATGGGGGTAATATATTGCAAGGTTTGATGATCTTAGGAGCTTTAGATTAGTACTAAATACTAAGTTAATAGTGCAAAATAGCCTTCATGATAAAAGTATAATGATCAAGATAAAAGTGATGATGTTTGATATACCAACTGGTATAACCAATATTTTTAATGAAACAACAATAAGTGAAGAGTGTAATATAACTTAGAAGATGCACTATAAGAAATTATATGTTATGGTGTGAACTGAAGGCAAAAATATTACAGTACACTATATAAATATATAGCAATTAAAAAACAGCAAGTGATTATCAGAAGTAGATGGTAGTATAGGCTGTTAAATGATTAGATTATTTAAGCTACAAACTGACAAAGGTTTATTGTCAGAACACTATTGTAAGTATTAGGAAAGTTTAGGTTGTGTATACTTAAGATTAAAGCAAATAGTTGAAAGGTACAGTATGTATGAAGTTATAAATATTATATTAAAAATTTAGTGGTACTTAGAAAGTTGTAAGTTATGTTTTAATACAAATTATTTAATCTAATGAAATCAGCCCAGGATATGAGGGAAGAGGGAATATATGGTTTTTAAGTTTTATCTATTATGTAGAGAGACTGGAAATCTTACTTCGATTACATTTTGGTTGATGCAAAGAAGCCGCTGTTCTTCAGCGAAGGAACTGTACTACGACAAGTAGACTCAGTGAGTGGAATATATAGATTGTTATAAACATTTTTATTATAGATGGAATAGAATTTAAACAACTTTTTATTGCAGTTTGCACATTCTCTTTGAACATTTTTATTTCTTTTAATTAGTTTTAGAGTGTAAACTAGTGGTGTGTTTAGATTCCTCTGTTTGTGTAACATTCCTCAAATATTATTAGTGTTTTCAATTTGTAAGAAACAGCATTGTGTCTGGCTTTTCTAAATATTCAAGGTGTGAAAATACTGAAAATAAAAGAATATATTTTTTACAAATGTCACCTATAGAAATAAAAATAGAGAAGAATAAAAAGCTGAAGAAAATGTTAAATACTTCCAGTTTTCTAGAGTAAATTAATAAACTGTGTCCATATTTTTTGTTTCTGTCATGTATTTCCTTTTTAAGTCCTAATTCATCACAATCATGTAATGTATGGTATTTGTAATTGGTATCTAGGTTGATAGTAGATATATATATATATTTTTTATTTTTCATTTTGTAGAAAGAGTCATTGCTAGTGGAGGAATACATATAGTAGAGAACGTTGCTAATATTGTTGTTTATTTATTTTGTAGGAAATCAAGTTGTTTCTAGTGGAGATATACAATGTTGTGTAAAAATTTGTTTTTTTGTTTGTTGCATGAAATAAATTTGTAAACATGCATGTAACATCTGATACATCTGTGAACATACATGTCATGTTTGATACATTTTACTTCAGTTTTTTAAATGACACAGAATTTGTGTGTTTAATAATCAATCAGTTTATTTGAGAATTATTAAGACCATGTGTTCACGTAGTCCTGTTTCATTCTCACATTGATAGAAAATGATTCAACACTAAGTAAGAATTATTGATGTTTGATAAAGTTTTTTCTCTTTTGTTATTAGAAGACTGGAGATCTTAGGATTGGAACTCACATGGGTCCACTACAGCCTGGACAAGTGTATTCTGGAGGTATTGTGGTGTTTAAGTTGCTGAATCTTAAAATTATGACTATTCTTATGGTTGGTCCAAAGTGTGCACAGAGTAACATACAAAGTTTAATTAAACATCTTTATTATCAACTTATGTTAATAAACTTGGTATCCAAATGTAGTTTATAATTCAAATTTTTTATCTAAATTGAAATCCCGTAATTTCTAAAAAAAAATATTGAAAATAAAAAAATTCTCAATCTTCACTTTTATTTCTCTCATTTAGCACTCTTAAAGTTTTTCCCCTCAGATTTTACATCTTCAGTAGTACATCCTCTGCATTGTTCATCCAATTAGAAATACAAACTATACTTAATTGTAAGCAATAAGAATTTAAAATCTCTACGTTCTTGAAATGTTGAGATATAGATAAATTTGTCAAACATACCTAAGAAGCCCTCCTATACCAAATTATTCTTCAAGAAAGTTATATAATCACCAGTATTTGCCTGATGGATGATTATAACCAGCAGAAAGAGCAGGTCCTTCTCCACATAAATATTATGACTTGTCCTTTTGTAAAGCTATAGTTAACCCTATTGCCATGGGTATCCTTTTACTGCCATGACACAAAGTTTTAGTGTCTTACATTCAAAATTTTATTAAACTACTTTTTGTTTATGTCATACCAATTAGTATAGCACAGAAGCTTAGCTAATAATTCATATTTTAATAGTATATAAGTTTAACTTCTTAATTCTATAAGGCAATATTTAGAAAAAATCAGACAAACCATATTTTTTATAGCCTTCAATTTTGTTTGGTTACAGAGCTATCAAATATAAAATGAGACCCCACCTGTCACATCCTCTCTTTCAGGATTTATTAATAGTTCTTTCTGACATTTAATTATGTATTACCTATAACCAATAGAAAGCCAAGGTTCTCATCTATCAAATGATGTATTGTATATCTTTATGTTCTTAACAGATAAGCGTCAATTTCACTCAGAGTACAAGTTTTATTTCCATGGAAAAGTTAACGACTAGCTTGGATGAATTTGTAATGGCTCTTGTCGCATAGTTGAAAGCCAGAAAAATTTTGAGAGTTAGAGGAAATTGTCTACTTTTTGCATGTTATTAGTCTATGTTCTTTGGTGTATTATTTAATTAAATAAAAATTTAGTGCATCACTACCATTAGTATTAAAACAAAAATTAGGGTTAACTTTTATCGACAGTCAACAGCAAGAAATAAGAAGATTGGGTAAGTACTTTATTTCTTGTTTATTCTTTATTTATTATTATAAAAGTAATTAGAATGTAAAGGTAGGGATCTTTTTAGGTTAGTTAAGATTAAATTAGGTAAAATAAGTAATAATGATAATATATTAAAAATGTTTCATGAGGCACGCATGCGAGCAGCTCGTAGTAATTTGTGGGTAATGTAATTCAATAGCATAATGTGAGCTGCATGTTCTTCAAGTGATTTGCAACTTATAATGGTGCGAATAGTAGTTATACACAGATTCAAAAGGGCAATAAAACAATAAAATTTAAATTATAAATAGATGTATACTGTTACGAGCTAAAAGGATAAACTAATGTAGTTTCATGTTATATCTGAAGTCATTCTAGAAAGAAAAAAGGGTAATTTAGATTTATTTAGAATTTTTTTTTTTTGGTAGTTACGAGGTTGGTCAAATTGACTGATCCTGTATAGCGATAGGGTTGAGGAAATAACAAAATAAAAAGTTTTACTGAGAAAAATGTTTGAAATGTATTTTGGAAAGTTTAGGGATTACATAAATGAATTTTGAGATGAAGAAAAGCATTTTTAATCTTAAGATAAATTATTCTGCAAATGGATTATTCAAAACAAATACTCAATATATTCAAGAACAAATCTTTATTTTAATTTATTAAAAATACTTCACTAAAAAATATGACTTTTGTATGTGAAAGGCTTATAATGTTAATTGAAAGACTGCCAAATTTTGTGATGATATACACACTATATTGAAATTTAGAAGTATTAAATCTATAAAGACTTTAAGAGTACAAAGAGGTCATTTGGTCAGTCAAATTGTGGATGTACCTAATCCAAGTATTTAAGAATTTTTTAAATCTATTTATAACTTACTTAGAAATTTGGAGAAATTACTGTAGTTTTGAAACATTCTGTTCTAGTGACTTTTGTATTGTTTATGTTTTAAAATTGATATTTGAAAGCTAAATTAACTCCTGTTGGTTAATGCAAGTTTGATAGACCCAACGAGGCTTATGAAGAACAACTGTTTCAATTTTGTATGAGTACTAAACATAGTTTTTTATTGGTATTTTTACTGTTTCTTATTTACTGTTATATTTTTTAACAAAAGTAATTAAAACGTAAAAATAAAACTTCTTAGTTGACACTTAATTAAAATAACGAACACGTTTAGAATTGCATGACCTCAGTCAGTGAGAAAGGTGAGAACTCAACTTTAAACTGATCATTTGTTCACTTTTAGCTCTACCAGAAACAGCTAAATTGGCTCCACCTGTGCTTATTGCTTTTCACACACATTAGTGGTACTAACTCAGAAGTAAAGTTTCGAATTAAAAGAAAGCAGATGTGGAAAATTAGAAAGTGAGACTGTTAGGATAAATAATTGTCTCTCACAATGTCCAACTATGCCACACACAAAAAAATGGCATCATTTATTTTATTAAATATTTTCCAACTTTTTACTTTGCATTGATTATTAATCTACAGTTAAGTGTTAGGATAAAGAAAATAAAAGATAAGATATAAAATTTTATCACAAAAACTTCTGATATTCATTTAGGAAGTGTTAGAGATTATGTAGAGGAAATATGAAAATTGTAAGATGAAAATAAGTATTTTATTTTTAGTATGAAAATTATCTTTCGATCAGACTGACTCAGTAAAGTCGTAAATTCACAGACAAGTCTTTAGCAAAAGTATGTCAAAAATCTGATTTTTTATTTACAGCATATTTGTAATGTTTACTAAAAGCATGTTGAATTACTTAGTAAATTGGGAATTATAGTAAACATTGCCACATATGGCTTCACAGATGATTTATTTAGTACAGTCAGACTTATGTATAGTTTCATGGCTACACGGTAGTTCCTATTCTTTTAAAGCTTACTTTTTCATTCAGAAATAATTCCTATAAATCTAATATACTTATGTAACCAATAATGTTCAATATTCTTCAGATAGATTACAGATTGTTAATCTTTTGTAGGGAGCTGCGAGGTGTTTACTGAGCTGATTGGAGCTAAGGGTAAAGATGTACTGTATGTAGGAGATCACATCTTTGGAGATATCTTGAAGTCCAAGAAAATGCGTGGCTGGAGAACTTTTCTAATTGTTCCTGAGCTGCAGAGGGAACTTTATGTATGGATAAAGGAAAGGAAACTGTTTGACAAGCTTCAAGAATTAGACATTATGCTGGGGGAAACCTACAGGTATAAAATCTTTGATAATATCCCACTTCAACAACAACAACTCGACAACTTTTTTAAGATAATCACTTGGGAATTCATTCCAGAAAGAAATAGTAGAAATGTGGTATTCTAAGTTAAAACTGATTTCCCAAAAGAGTGGTTCACAGAATAACAGGAGATTTGACCAGGAAATATATCACAAAGCAATTCTGACTGTGACTGAGTTTAAGAAATAAATAGAGAGACTGGACAAAATTATTCAAAAATACAATGAACAGTATTTATTTAAACACAAATATAGCGTATGCAATTGCTTGTTACAACAGAAGGTCACTTTTACTCGATCTAGACTACCTCCAGACTGTCTTTGTTAAGGCCTGATTCCAGATTGATTAAAATTCAATTACTTAGTTAAAACAGTAACACCAGACTTACTCAGAGCAACTAGTGCTATCCACATGACTGATCATTTCTATTAGAGAATAAAAGAGTCCGTAACCTTGAACCTGCCACTAGAGATAACTGCTGTCTATTTTCAAACACAAGTGGAGCTTTTCATCTATCCCCCTCGCCCTTCACACACAGGGGTAGACCAGGTGTTATTTCCAGGGAATGACAGAAACATAGGTAACTAGAATAATAGCCAAGAAGGTTTTTAAATTACTATGTGAGAAGTGCACATATTCTTGAATAACTGACAACTTCTGAGCAATTATAAATTAAAACAGAAGGATACAAAATGTATGGTATGTGTATACCACAAAGATAGGAAATTTTTAAATATATTTTTTTAGGTATTTAGATAGCAGTGCCAAAGAAAAGCCCAATACCATTGAACTAATCACTAAATCTATTTTTTTTTAGGTATTTAGACAGCAGTGCCAAAGAAAAGCCCAATACCATTGAACTAATCACTAAATCTATTTTTTTTTAGGTATTTAGAGAGCAGTGCCAAAGAAAAGCCCAATACCATTGAACTAATCACTAAAT